TTCAGAATTTATCGAAAACTTTACTACAAACTGAATAAAAGTGCGAAGCACTTTTATGTAAAGTTTGTGAGTAAAAAGGCGCGAGTTTACACATCGATAAATTCTGAAAAAAGAACGTTTAATCCTTATAATTCCAATAATTCCTCGGCGTTAAAATTATTTCTCTTCGAAGCCTCCATACATTAAATGCTCCGCTTCTATATATGGCGTAGGAATATATTACGCCGCACTGTGTAAATAAAACGTAATCCTGGAGAACATTAATATAATTAACTTTAATATTCAAAAAATACAATAAAACAAACGCATTAAACTTTAACAAGTAATTTTTAAGTCAACAAACATCGGAAATATGATAAACAATTTTCCACAACCGTTTTGAATTATTCGTCCTTGACATGTTTAGTACGGACTACGGAGAGCGTCAGTGGTTAGGCCTAATGGTTGAAGTTGAAGGTGCATTCCTTGAACATTGAGTAGGAGCCAAAACCTGTAAGAAGGCTTGACTCACTATTAATATTTACGCGTTGGTTTGCAACAAGGGAGTGGGCAGATTGGATTAGGTAGGCCTTGAGCAGGGACGACAGGTAAGTCTGGGTTTCTCTCTACACCGACTCCAGCAGCAACGCTTCCTAGAACGGAACTGATCATTTTTTTTTGTTGAACACTGGGGCGACGGCAATAGGATTTCAGAGACTCTTCACATTTGTGATCCGACATGAACATGATGTTCCTGTCTGTCAGTCCTGCGTCGCTCATAGCTGTTATGGAGGTTGTTCTCAAAGAATGTGCTGTATATCTCTTTGTGGTAGCATTTTTACATATGTCTGGCATAAATGTAGTAAACCTTTTTGGTTTTACTGGAACATTTGAATACCAAATGTCGTGAGCTTCGGGATCCTCAGAATGCAGTGCATCTTTGTCACACTCATTGAATAAGGAGGTGGCTTTGGGGTCAGTTTTAGAGATGAATAATTTCATAGATTGGACAGGACAGGTTTCTTTTCCAGTAGCATACATGCGTTTGTCCTGTGCTTCCTCAGAGCTCCCATCTAACCCTCCTTGGTTGTTTTTTTGATGTGTCTCATGTGTAATGGTTATGTATTCTATGCCATTTTCATCCTTTTGAAATTTCAAGGACTGAAGTGATAATTGGTGGTGAAATTCACATCCCCGACTGACAAAGTGAATTGCCAAAAGGTACCAGATCCTGAATCTTAGCGCTACCGGATTCTTTCCTGAAAGGTAGGTGTTTATTTTCATCAGGTCTTCATTAGGAATTGCAGCATGGTGTTTTGTTGGTCTGGAGAGGCCTTGTTTAAGGTTGAATTTCAGCTTTGAACTGAGCATGGCATTTGAGCTTTTAAATTCAGTGTCCTTCACAATATCAATTTGTCTCCCTATGTCTTTTAGATATCTATTGATGGCCGCCCTTACATTTTTCATGGAATTTTTGTGGTATTCAGCTGCATGTTCCTGAGGCATCTTCTGCACACGACTACTCAAATTCTTTGGCTGTGCTTCTGCATAGAATTTCCTCAAATTCTCATCTAATACAGGTGCAGAAATTGTATGCAAGTCTAAAACCTCATTCAGTCTTTCCATACACCATGCTGAAATATTATTGTTGATTATTACTTTTAATTTTTATGATTTTTTTCTTTATTAACATGTGTAACAATTAATTGGCAGTCTCTATAAGTTTACACTGTGCTATAATGTGTGCTGAGTCATCTGATTTAGTTTTTATTCATCAACACTGAAGAAGAGTACATGTATGTCACAATATTCAGGTTAAAACTGATTGTAGGCCAGTCTATAGAAACAATTCTTTGGCTTAAAAGTTTCACACCTATCTATCCATAAATGTTCATGTTTTGATTTTCATTCTAATGTCAAAACTGACCATTGACTGGGTTGAAAATTATGCATCAAAGTACAATCTGTTATTTTAATTTACAATATATTCTCACCATTAAAGACACCAATGCCCCATTTGGTATTTTTCTTTGTCGAGTTGCTGTATTGGTTAGTTTCAATCTCCAGCAGGTCCTGTTCCTGTAAGGTCTTGAATCTCTGAGCAGTAGTCACCTCTGAAATGCTGTCTGGTAGAGGCTGTAAATTTGTGTTTATGTGTGAGACTTCAGTACTACTATTAGGTTGCAGCTCAGTTTTTGTAACTGCTTCTAAAGTTTGGTCTTCTTGAATGTCTGTAACTGCATTCAAAAGCATCTCATCAAAACCTTGGACATCTGACTGGAGTACTTCTAGAAGACTAAGAACCTCTCCTGAATTCATTTCCTCAGGTAAATTCAATTCGAATGTTACTGGGGGTGTTTCAAAACTTTCGTTTTCATTTTCCATTTTACATGTAATATCATGTAGCAATGACGTCTAGGAATGCAGACGATAAAATTTTCTTCTTTTCAAATTTTAAAATAATTTCTTTATTTAAGTAATGAAAAAGGTTTTTTTAATATAATTTTTATTTTGTGAATTTAATATCAATGCAAATAAAATGACTTTTACACAATCAAACGAAATAGAGAATCAACGAGAACATGGAGGCAGCCATATTGTTTATACTAGAAACAGGTCAAGAAAGTAGTTCCGGCTGTAAAATTCATCGATGTGTAAATTCTTTTTCGAATCTATTCTTGTCCAATCAAAACACAGGAAATTAATGAATTTATTTCATATTGGAATTATACGTGTATGAATTTATAAAATTCAATGAATATATCATTTTTTTTTTACTTTTGAATACTAGTACTTTGTTACCATAGTAACGTATGTAATAGTTGATGTACCATACATGTTTATCCGACCGTTTACTTGAGGAAACCATAATTCCCAATTGTTTGTTTTGCCGCAGGAGTTAACTATGGGGCTCTAAATATGTTAAGGAATGCCATTTTTCAAACTTTAAGACATGTTGCCATGGTAACTATTACACATAGCAATCAATATTTGCCCGATTTTAGTTTAGGGTGTCAAAGGCTTTATCATAGAGAGTTTGGAGACATTCTGAGATTATGTGTGCCACAGCTCCTATATAAAATTTTAAATCATTATAGAGAATGGCTCTTAATTATCATCATTTAATTTAATCTTAGTTTGGGTGCGTATCATTACCGCTACATTTTCGAAATTTTCATTACCACTGGATAGCCATTACCGCTACAAAAACGATACAATACCGCTACATATGTGTGTACAGATTGATATAAAGCACTAAATATACATGTACAAGTATAAGTCCTGTTTACCATTCTAACTAGAGGTACTGTGAGCATTGAGCTCACTAAATGATACCCCCGCCTCCCATATGAATATAATAGCAGTGTCCATGTTTTGCTCTGAAAAATCCAAAAAATATGTTAAATCAAAAAGTAAAATAGGAGGTGCACAATGACAATTTGTAATAAAGATTCTGTGAAAGTTTCATTAAATTTCCTTCAGCGGTATGAGAAGAGTTGCGGATAAGAGATGGGTATCCCAAAGCATAACAGACGGACGGACGTACAGACGGACGGACATACCGATTACTATATACCCTTCCGCTTTTCAAGCGGAGGGTATAACTATGTGAACATCAGAAGACCAAAAGCTAAGTGAAAGGATGACTTTGAGCGGGACGTGTTTGTTTTATTTTATTTTTTATTTTATATCATGGCAATGTACATGTAGCGGTAATGTTGACCTCCCATATAGGATAAAAGAAAAACCACGTTAATTTTAAGTATTGTATTGGCGCTGTCCTGTTTAAACATTACATTTCCGTCGATCAGTGCACTGCGTTTCTTGTCTCTGAGCTTATATTTATGAACAAAGAGAGCATTTATTATTTATGACATTTAAAGATTTGTCTTAATTTATATGCTTCGTTTCGTCTAATGCATGTTTTCACAAAGTATAAAGATTGTGAAAAAATGCCACGGTAATTGTATCGGATCAATAATTAAACTAAAGTAATTGAAGTAGGTCGAAATTATTTTTATTTTTGTATAAAATTGCTTTTTTGTTCATTATAGAACCCAGTACAAGAGATACCGTAAATCTGGAATTTTTTGCTGTAGATAAATTTTTAGCAAATTTGCGAGTTCATTGCATTTGCAAAAATATTTTTCTTAAAAATAAATTACCAATAAGAAAATGTAAACAAAGCAGTGGTAATTCGCAAAATTTTGAAACGTAAAAATTAATCAACATCATTTTAACCCGAATTCGCAAAATAAAATCGACGTAAAAATTTCCAGATTTACGGTAGCTCTTTAAGGTCAAGATCTAGTAAATAACTTTAGACTAATTTTTTGGTGCTAGATCCATTATGACGTCATAATCAATTTCAACTTTCTTTTTCCCGTACTTTACGGCTTTAGCAGAATTATGTAGAAAAAAGGGTATTTTCATGACATTCAATTTGAAATCATATGAAAAGTAAACCGGATACCTATATTAAATTTGATATTGATTTAAAGAAGAGGCCACGAACATACTAATTACCGTTTTCTGAGAGACTGTAGGCAATCTGGATACATTTCCTCTGTTGAATATGAAAATAAAACTCCCATATTCATGACTGGTTTTCTTAATTTTTCATTGAAAATGACAGTTTAAAATACAGTTTTTAATGTTGTTTACCTACAAATTATGCCCCGAAACACCTTATTTGACCAAGCTAAAGTTGTAAAGCATCAATAAAGGAATTTATTTCTCAAATTTGATAAATCTGTAGGCACCTTTCATTTACTAGATCTTGACCTTAACGTACTGTAACTTGTTTGTCATCAATTACACTCAATTTACTGTGGTCCATTCAATGAAAAATATTAAAAGATCCTTTTAACAGTTATTGATCAATACTGATCAATTAGCAAATACTCCTGATTTCAACATGTGCACCAATGCCCCTTTCCTCATTAGCAAGTAAAGATTTGTGTCCTAAAGAGAATGTTTTCCCACTGAACAACACATAATTAATTGTAACAGGGCACGGAATGGACATCAAAACCGAGACTTTGTTTTTCACGTTTGTTTTAATGCAGGTGTCTATCTGTCTGTGTCGGTCGAGTTTTGAGTACAATCTTTTCAAGGACTATAGTCGAATAATCAAACCAAGAAAAAATCAAAGTGAATCTGTTAACGTTAGCTTTAGTATGAGGTTAAATACAATTCATGAAGTAGATGAACATCAACAGTTCATATCTTTTACTGCTTGGTTCAACGTGGAGTGGGAAGACGAATTTCTGACTTGGAACGAGACTGATTATTCCGGAATTAATATAATCACTGTATCTCAAAAAAGAGTCTGGGTTCCTGATTTACATATGTATTCCTCGGACAAAAACTTTAACACACTGGGATCTCCATCAATTATCTTAGTGAAATCTAACGGTCATATGCATTGGATCCCAGGAGGAAAGTTCGTGGTGTCTTGTGATCTGAAGATGAAAAAGTTTCCATTTGATAACCAAACCTGTATTTTTACGCTATCAGCCTGGCTTAGTCCGGACTCTATTCAAAAACTTGTCCCGGATCAAATTTCCGACGGTGCTGAAAAATATATAACGCAAAATGGAGAATGGGAATTTACGCGGTTTTCATATAGAGTGGAGTATCAGATCGAGTATGACGTGACAGAGATGCATTACGAATTGCACCTACGACGCCGATATCTGTACTTTGTATTTAGTACCCTTTTACCTATTTTGGCCCTAGCTGTATTAAATTCTCTGACATTTCTAATTCCACTAGAATCAGGGGAGAGGATCCAGTATTCGCTGACCCTCTTACTGGCTTTTACCGTCTTTCTGACATTATTTGAGCAAACGATGCCTCACAGTTCTACAGATGTACCTTATCTTTCTTTGTATGTTGGTTTCCAGTTATTTCTTTGTGTTGTGTCAACCGTGATTTCGGTGATATCTAGGATAAAAAAGAACAAAAATGACGACGAAAATGAAATTAAATGTAGCAGTGAACATGAATATCAAACAAAGGATTGTCATCGAAAAAACACATCAGAGGAAATCAGCAATGGTGGTGGAGAAAAACTTAACAATAACATAAAAACAGATATCAAAAATAAACATGACACAAGTTATGGAATGTTTTTATTCAGCGGAATGCTGCAGCTCCTTTCTGTTTCTTTATTGATTGTTTTATTTGCTGTATAATAAATTTTTGGAAGAGAAGATCAGTTTAAGCCTTGTTAGTAACTATAAAATACATGCATTGGCAAAATATTCCCTAAAACATGCAATTCATTATTTGTATTGTTTACATGCTCGGAAGCAAAATATCATATGTATGGACATTTAACAGAAAATATCAAAGAAAGAAAAAAGTGAAAGAAGTTAGTTGAGCCTGTAGCATAAAGAAAATGAACTGGAATAAATAATCAGTTACAAATCAAATGAATTTCATAAAGATCAACATCTTACCAATACTTCAACACGGTGCTTTGTCTAAATGTTTAATTTTTACTTGTTTTTAAAAAGATTTTTTAAACACCAACGCTTAAGAAATCTTTTTGAAAATTCTGCTTCTTTAAATTTCGTCCAAAGAAAAAAAATCATAACAGAACAATTTCTATTCACCTTCAAACAAGCATGATAGAATTGTGTCAATGATTACTGTAATTGGCAAAAAATGTTCCGTTTGCCCGATAATGACAAGAAGCAAACGGCGGGTGTGGATTCTCGGCATTAAAGGCTTAATCCCAGCTCCATGGCACCTGATCCCATCTCTGATGTTTTCAGAAGTCCATGTTTGTTCTGAATCGATTTTGTATTGTTTCGATGGCATTTTGAGCTATGATTATGGATGGTTGTAAATCCGATACATTAAGTATCGCTCTTTCAATATTGAAGCACATAGAGTACATAAGAATACAACACTAATGTCGTTCTTTCAAAGGATTAAACACGTTAAAATGGTGGTTATTACTTTGTATTTACATAAAACTGATATTTGTTAAGTTTAGTATGATATTGATGAAAAGGTTTAGCATTTTGAATTAAACCGCATCACTTTGTATTGTTCTTGTAGAAATCGTTGTTAATTGAAACAAATAATCCCTCCCCCTCCTCAATTCTTAGTAGAACAATATTGCTGAATTTTTTTGATATCTAGAGGCATTGATGTATTTTCTCTCAAAAACATACAAAGGTGTATTTCTCTGGAAAATCATTGATTCTTCTAAATGAAGCTCAACTTTGACATGCACAATTTCAAATGGTCCAATAACATCTGCAGATAACTCAAAATAATCTGTATGAAGAAATTGGACATACATAAGTTTTTTAAAAAAGATTTTCTTCCACCAGTAAATCTGTCTTTGGGTCTTATGTAAAAAAGAAAACGCAATGAGTAGTGAGCAAAATTAGAAAAAAGTAAACAGATGTTAAATTCTCAACATGACATAGGAACAGGGGCCCCTGGAAATATCAAGGTTGCATCAGATTTCTAGTAAGAGTGATCATTTTTATGCCCTCAAAATCACACCTTCGGGGGTATATAGTTTATGCCCTGTCCGCCCGTCTGTCTGTCTTTTTGTCGGTAAAAACCTTAAACCTTGCCCATGATCTTTAATTGTATGGGACTATAGTTTTCATGTATGACAAAATTCTCCCACTTTACTTGAAAGATATCATTAAGGTTACCTTTTTGAAGATCTATGGAAAAAATCCAAGTAAAACTCAAGATCACGGTGAAGAATATAAAACATATAAACAACCTTTTCCCCAGAAGTCAACAGTATTTTCCATAGAAAATATTCAAATACGTATCATAAATGATATATTCCACCGCTCAACCTAAAAAACATCATATTATGTCGGGCCATAGAAGTACCAAATGCTGACTTCAGACTAGATGTTTGTTATCCTTGTAACATCAGGTAATTTGTCTATACCATGAGTCTGTGAAAATATTGGTCGCTTGTAGAATATGCTGATGCATATTAAATAAATTTAGGGATATGTTTTAACCATTTGTCCAAAATGAAAGTATGAAACACAAAAGATGGAAAATTCCTTAAAGACGTTCTTCTTTATGAATTAAAATGAATAAAAATAACATTTTTTGTTTTAAAAATTTATTTGTCAAGCTTAAAAATATTGTCAAACATGGACATTCAATATTCTCGTCCCTAATGATATACAAATATGAATTAAAAAGATCAATACAAAAAGCTGAAGGATTTTTACATGCAAAAATATTTTTATAAGAAAGTTTTGGTTGTATGAGAAATCACCAAAACTCTTTCCTTGGCATTTACAAAGTAGGCATTAGAATCATGTGGGATTGTTTTACTATATTTTTATTTGCAAAACGCTTTCTTTAAAACCATTGTGCAACGTTGCTACTATAAAGAGATTGTCTTGAAAGGGAGTTCCAAATATTATCAAACGGTTCAAAATGAAAGGGATTGTTATTTATCTCGAAAGAATAAGCAATTCAGAATGGCAGTATCTGTCATGGCTTTATTTTGTTTAAGATAGGTCATTACATAATAAATCAATTATCAAACAATGGACAATGATCAAGTATTATTGCAAGTGTCAATGAGTACCTCCTCAATATTTGGCGCCTACGGTTTGCAGAAACTTTTTTTTGGTGCTGACAACCCTGGAGGGTAAATAAAATTGCCAGCGATGGCTTGTTGCAAAATTCTGCAGTTCGTCCATGGATTGCAGCCTGGAAGGATCTTAAAGCCATGACGAGGGACGATTTCGCTGGAATCGGAAATGATAACAGCAGAAACACAGGAGAAAACTAATAATAATTGAATGTACAATATTTATGCCCTAAATACCTATGATAAAAATAAAATATGTATGCAAATCCGCGTACGTAACTGAATAGGGTGATGTATATATGTAAGCAGTTTTTATGGATGACCCAGGAATATGTAAACAAGTTTTATGGATGATCGGTGTAAAGGAAAAAAAAAATGTGTAGAAAGATGAGGAATATTAATCTACATAAAATGGTGGGGGCGGGTGGGTGAAAAATCGTAAACCTTAGAGGATGTGTGCGCAAGCGCATTTAAGGCTTGGGGCTATTTTGGAAATTTGGTTGAAACAAGTTATCGCGCTTGCCCATTCCTTTAATTTTACCGCACATGGCGGTAAATGCAATATTTCAAAGAATAAGCAATTCAAAATGGCAGTATCTGTCATGGCTTTATTTTGTTTAAGATAGGTCATTACATAATAAATCAATGGTATCAAACAATGGACAATGATCAAGTATTATTGCAAGTGTCAATGAGTAAGCGCCGATCCTCAATATTTGGCGCCTACGGTTTGCAGAAAAATTTACAACCCTAAAACAAATTTTTTCCAAAATTCTGCAATATTGCTGTGCACGAATTTCGAGCTAAATATTCAACAAGTGGCGGACAATTTGGCAAACAAGATATACATGTATATTTCACAAAGCAATACAAAAACAATATGCAGGGTATCATCAATGAATAATGTGGCAAAGCAATATAACACAACATATCAAAGCATCAATCAGCATAACTGGGGGGGGGGAGGGGAGAGGGAAGGATGCAATGCAAATGCAATTGATTTCAAATATATGGTGTGAAGGTGTTTCTTTTACAAGCCATGCACAGATACTGTTTTATGGGAGTGTGGGGAAAACCTTTTGACTGGAAGTCAGAAACTTGGACAATGCCGTTTGAATTGTAGAATATACTTATATCTGATAAATGAACACAATCGAGGAATAATTTGGGCCTTTCAATTCTAATATCTGGGTAAAAGACGATTTAACTTTTAACAACAAAGCAACCAATGGAATTATTGATTCTTTTTCTAGATTTCTCTGCAGCTTCGCTTCGAAATCATGTAACGCCAGATTAAAATATGAATAAATGTAATCTTTTTTGTTTTAAAAATTTATATTTGTAATTTTTTAAACTAATGTCAAACTGTTGCCGCCACAGTGAACTATTAGAACTTGAGGAATGATTTCATTGTGGCGATATACAAACTAAAAATTAAAATGATACATCTATGTTTAAGTGCTCCAGAGACAAGTTTTGGCCAATTGGTGAACGTGTGCATTTTCAGCTCGTCTGATGATGGAAGATCCAACAAATACCTTGCAGCGAGTTCCTGCAAACTTATATACAGTTAGTAAGACTAGACATCTACAAGATACAGTATTAGGGCGAACATATGACTTAAAAGCGTTGGATTTTTTTACCCATGGTTTTGATTTCTTGCTTTACCTTGCATATACAATGAAGTTGCAGCCCCTATGCGAAATGAATGGGATTTGAATGTTGATATATCAAGTTTGAGGAATGATAGAGCTTTCTTTAGTATTTGATTGAATTGATAGTAAGTCAAAGGTGGGATTGTTATTTAAGCAAATTAGTCAGTTATTTTCTAAATATCTTCAAATCGAGAATAAAATAAATAACACTATTAGGGACCAAATTTGCAAAATGCTGCTGAATAACATAATTTTCATTTTCTTTATACTCAAAAACATGCTTTTCCTCAACTTCAATTGTTCTCCCAAGTCGCGTTCGGGGATTTCCTCTGATGTTGTCTTTTGATTACCGTTCTTTGCTCGATATCCATCGAAGCCATTTCTGCTGTGATTTTCCGAATCTTTTGTCTCCTGCTTATGCATGCTTGACCTGGATAACACCGATATCACAGATGTAACTGCACAAAGAAACAACTGGAAACAAACATAGAGAGAAAGATAAGGTACATCCGTGGACCTTTGAGGCATCGTTTGTTCAAATAATGTCAGAAAGACGGTAAAAGCGACCAAAAAGGTCAACGAATACTGGATTCTCTCTCCTTACTCCAGTGGAATAAGAGGCGTTATAGAATTCAGAACAGCTAGTGCCATGATAGGCATAAGAGTACTGAATACAAAGCATATATATCGTCTTTGTAGGTGTAATTCGTAAAATATTATTGTCACATCACGTTCAACCACATACTGTACACTGTATGAAAAACGCGTGAATTTCCATTCTCCATTGTGCCTTATACGTTCTAAATTATCACCAGGAAGTTGATAAGTTTTTGCATGTAGTCAGTCGAAATCCAAGAGGAGAGTAAAATTGTACATGTCTGGTTATCAAAAGGAAATTTCTTCATCTTAAGATCGCAAGACACGACGAATTTCCCCCGTG